AAACCCCAAAACCCCAAAACCCCATTAGCATTAATTATAGTTTAGAATTAGTTATGAAATAAAGATTTAAATTTATCAAACTGCTTATTATTTATAATTTAATTGATATTTTGTAGTCACACTTCAGATATAAAATTATTCTGTAAAAAATTTCCATTCGTTGTCAAATTTTTCTAGTGAGTTTTCAAATTGTCATCCATTGACTAATTTAAATCAAAATTTTACTTATCATCATAATGTTTGTTATTTATTAAAACTTCTTCAGTATTTTGTATTTTATACTGACTAAAGGTTGATTATTCACTAGAAATACAATTTCTTTGTCTTATTATATAAGTTATGATTGATATCAAGATAATAAAATAGTAGGCGAGCATTCCTAATGGAAATAAAAGTAGGTAAATGAGTCTAATAATCAACTGCCAAATTTAATATTTAAATGTAGATTTTTAGCTTTTTTGTAATCTCAAATGATAATAACTTTGAAACAAAGTTTAGCTTTATATTTATTTGGAGCCATCTTCTTGATCAACTATCTAAAATTTATTGCTGTAAGTTCTGCATTTTTAAATACTGAGATTGGTGTAAATAATTGGACTGACTAGAATACCAAATATCAACCATAATAAAATGCCAAGAATTGCTAACATATAAGTAGATTTTGTCCACCTTTTACTTAAACTAACAGATTTTCTTTGTGATTTTAATTAACTGTTACCTAAATATTATTATATGGTTTATGTAGGTTACTTATTTGAAAAATTTTGCAGGGACTACTACTAAAAGGATTAAGGTGATTCTTATCATAGCTCTATCTACAGTATATACAAAAAGAGATTTAGCAGGAATGGCATGCGAAATGCTTGCAAAACTATTATCTTTTGAGAACTCTATCACATTTAACACATATTTGGTAATTTAATTTCTTCAGTCCACTCTTGATACCAGCAATTTCTGAATATTACTACTCTATTTTCTAAAAATCAATATTCATTTATTAATGTAAAACTTACTTTATCACAGGCTAGATATGGATGATCTTCAAATCCACATAAATTGCATTAAGTCTATCCGCAATCATCACAAATCTAGCTTTATAAATATATTCTTACACTAGTAGAATAACATTTATTACAAAATGTTTCTTATTTCTGATTAACTAAACTTTTCGAATAAAGTTCCACTAGGCTTTTTGGAATAATATCACTTATCTACTTTACTTAAATTTGATTAAGACAGCCAGGCTATGGACATATTAGTTCTTTTCTAAACTACTTAATTTGCTCCTCAATACAATGAATGTTACAATTGCTGCAAATAAGATGCTTTACACTTTAATTTTCACATTTCATTTTTATTTACTTCCATAGTGATTTTTCAAATTACTCAGCACAAATAATGCAGATTACATGAGTTTCTTCTGGAATATTCTGAGTTGAATCAATAAATTTGCTCTGAATAAATTTCATATTTTTGTTTTAAAGCTCAGTAGGCTGGAAAACCTGCACAGCAGAGTTTTACTTTGAGATAATACCTAGTCCGTTCATAATGTTAAATCTGGCAAGATCTAATCTATGTTGAAGTCCTTCTTATTCACCAACACTCATCTATTTGAAATGACCTGGCCCATTATTTTTCTTTTTTAAGATTGATTACAGAGTACCTATCTATCTTTAAGACTATTGGTTTTATATAAATGAGCGATTCTTGCTAAATTACACTACACTTTTAAAATTATTTAATCCATAGCAGGTTTAGAACTCTAAACTTGACAGTCTATTTTCCTAATTATTCTTTAAAGTATGAGCTTGAGATATTAAAGTATTTTCATTACCAGCTCCAGAAGATTAGAAGAGTTTATTATAAAGCTTTTACGTTAGAGTTTCTTTTGCTTTAGAGAGTTGTTTAATAGAAGGTCCATCTTCTTTCTATATATTATCATTTTAACCTATGAAATCAATTTATTCTTGCTGTTCTATATCTACTGGAGTCTTAGTTCTTAAAAGTCCAGCACCAGTCTCATTGTTTATTTGAAACTTTATTTAGTTTTTATCATCATCTTATTTGATAAGTGAATGCTTTTTCGAATGGCGAGTCATTGCATTTTATATAAGTGTACTATTTTGATTGTATGTAGTGTTTACAAGCATTTCTTAATATTGTTCTATTTAATAATGAAGTTCAAAATTTATGTCAAGGTCATGCTTTTCAATTGTCTCGCCACAAATTTCACAGACTTCGTTTTCATCAAATACAATCGAATGTATCATATTAGATTAAGATTTCAGGACTTCATTTTTAAGTGGAATCTGATTGGAATTAAGGTAATTTCTAAGATAGAAATCTCTAGAACCAGCAGATTTAAGATTCTATCCACTTTTAAAAATAAGCTGAGATCTGTTAGTTATTATGGCTGATTCTATCAATGAGGCACTGGCTGATGATTCATGGAGATGAATTGTATTATGGTTATTATTTCTCTGAGCATTGAAGTTTTAAGTGTTTACTCCAAACTGGGAATTTAGCAAAAATTGAGGAGATCTTACGCTAAAAATATCACCACTTCTACTCGCACCGCCTGAATATAAACTTATTTCTCTTCTAACAACCTTAGAATTTTCAGGTATCTTGTTTTTTAGATTAAGTATTTGCGATGTCATTTGTTGAGTCTTGTAATTTTTTATTTAAACTGATCCTCGCTAATCGTCATCTTAATCAGTGTTTTATGGCCCGAAAGTGCATTTTGAAATAGCTTCTTCATCAACAATATCTGGCCGAGAGCTCATCATCAGATTTCTCTCTATTGATTCCTATTTTACATTCTCATTCAGATATTCTGGAGTTATCTACATATTAAGTAGATTGTTATAGGCTTGCTATTATAATTGAAGCTTCTATTAGTTCTATTATAAACTTTAGCAATGCAAAAGATCCTCTTACAGATCTATCATTTTCTTATTACTAATTAGTAATCTTCCATTTATATTGGAAACTTAGATTTACTAACTTGAATTTTTGTCGTTAAATGCTTTAAAGTTCTCAATATCTTTGAAATCTGTGTTTTTATTGCAAATTTTACAAATTGTTTATACTGATGGCAATTGATCTCTGTTCAAATATTTGTGATAAAACTTAGAACCATTTTTTTAGGAGTTAAGAATCTATTTTTAGTCTGAGTATATATAATCAAGAACATCTTCGATATAAATCTTAGTATTTATTATTTATTGATTCAACTTTTGCTAGATTATGAACAATATTTTCTCAATAAGGTCAACTCTTTCAAGTATTTATTTATCTTCTTTTATAATATTCCATAACTTTATCACTAGAATTTTGTTATGATTTTTGTTGAATATATCGTGTGATTAAGAAATTGTTTGATTTGCGTCATTGGAATATGATAAGAAGGCTTTTATCTGAAAGCTTTTCCTTTAATATGAATTCCTCAGGAAATTACTAAGAAGAATCAGATAATCAGTACATTCACCCTGAGGTGTAATATAGTTTTAGGATTTCTCATTCTCCTTGCTGATGATTTTAGCATTTTATAATTATTGTTATACAAGAAAATAAGATCTTTCTCTGCTTTATGCAGAATCTAAACCTGAATGATTACTTTTAAAATTATTGTTACTAATAGGTTTTACTCGATTGCTCTTTAATTTGTAGGATTTTGATTGAAACATCGGAGGTTTTTGTCCAATACGTTCGGTGGCAAGTTATGTGAGAAAGGGAACCTTTTTTACTTTATTATTAATATTTACTTAACTAAATTCCTGATTAAATTGCTTCGTGAAATATCTCTCTTGCGCATATTGTTGCAAATTTTCAATGGAGTTATTTTAATAGTAGTCGATTTTCGGCTGGTGCACTTCAATTTAATAAGAGTCTCTTGCTTTATTTTCATCTTAAGTATCTTCATAATTTACAAAGCTGACCAGCTACTCATGATTTTATGATTCATTTTCTTATACATTAATGAATTCAAGATGCTTCATACCGTCAGGACTCGATTCACCAGAATCATGCGTTATATTCAAAGGGTCTACAATGTGTACTTCAGGTTTACCCTCATCATCATCCTCTTCTAGTATTTAATCTACGAACTAATTACCATAATAGAATCCATCAACGCCTCCCTGGGAATGAATTTAATAATCTTATTAATTTTGGATGTGCTTTAGTTACTTAAGATCAATACTTAGTTATTTCATGTCAAATTATCCACTAAATGGCTAAACATTTTAAAATGTATTTATTTTTTCATCTTGATTATAATTGCCTATTACTTCTTGTTGATTTTTATTAGGACTTTCGCAAGAAGAGTTTCTTTATATTTCACTGTTTTTAAGTGACTATGGAAAACTCACGACTTTTTGATAGTTCTCCTCATCATGAAAGACTATAGTACTCTTTCTCTAGATAGAGCCTAGAGATATCTATGACTTATTGTTTTAATGAACATTCTATTTGAATATAGTACCACTTTTAACCCTTTGATGCATAATCTATAAATTTTGAAAATTTAATTGAGCACCTGAGTTGCTTGGAGTGACAGAGGCAGAATTTACATCAGATGGATCAATTTTTTCTTTTGGATAAGACTGATAATTGCTTATACTTCGAAGCAGTTCATTCTCAATTGATTTCCTTTTTTATAATTGATAAAGACTTTTAAACCTTCTTCTATGCTCTCTATATTTCTCAGCAGGCTCCTAAATTGATAAACTTTCTTATTTCAGTAAGCTTTAGGATCTTTAATTACTCTGGTCATCATCAACTTTCTTGGTAATAAGATTATTAGGATCGAATCCATAATTACCAGTGTCATTAGTCTTGCTATTGTCATTGGTATTAATTAATTTGGGATGAGATTTGTCTAATTTTATAAAATGGTCTGATGATTTCATTAATTTTGAAATGATTCCTCTAAAATATAATTAAGCTTTAATTTATATTTATAATTAAATCTGCAAGAAGCTTGTTTGCTTTACTTAAAATTAATTTGATTGTAATTAATTAGAAATTTCTAGATTAAAATGTCTTCTGAAACTCAAGAATTGTCAATTAAGTTTAACTTCCTCGTACCAGCTGAAGTCATCTATAATACTTTAACCAATTAAATGTAAGATTAGTTAGTGGATTCAATGATAACTTTAGGCAAATTATGCAATTCACTTAATCTCCTGCTGTTTCAGAGCCAGTGCCTAATGGAAAATACTAAGTGTTCAATGGAAATATAGAAGGTGAATACATTTCTCTCGAATAAGGCAAGCATATTGAGTTGAGATGGAGATTTAAGGATTGGGAAGTCTACTCTCATGTTGACATAAAATTAGATGAGGGAGAAGACGAGGATGTAAGTTTATGCAAAATATTTACATAGATTTGATATAATCAAGAAATAAATATTAACACTAATCTATTAGGAATGTGAAGTGAGTGTCATTCAAACAGATATCCCCACACATGATAAATATTTGAAGAATGTGCATCTTGATAACCTTGAAAATGGATGGAGAGCTAACATCTTTGAGAGACTTTCCAAGGTATTTGGATATGCATTAAAAAAATGATTAGCAGTCAATTAGAAAGCAGAGATAGTTCGAAGTTTAATTTTAAAATTCAATATCTTTACTTCTTGAAATTTTCATATTTTCATGTTTAGGGGTTTTGGGGTTTTGGGGTTTTGGGG